GGCACACATCCGAGCACCTTTGAGGCTGAGGCAGGAGGAGTGCCACGAGTTTGAGGCCAGCCTGAGCTAAAGAGCGAGACCCTGTCTCAGAACAAAACAAAACAAAACAAAACACTTTGATGGTGTCCTTTTACCCTTTAGATAAAGTCCCCAAAGCTGGACTGCTTTGAGTTCTTAGCTGAAGCCAGTCTCTTAGATCGGGTCCTTAGTAGATACTTGTCCTTCCACCTAGAATACTTTCCCCCATATTTTTTCCCTTTCAGGTGTCAGTTCGAGGATCCTTTCCTCCGACAAGGTTAGTTCTTTCATAGTCCAGCTGGTTTAATCTTTGTTGGCTGCTTAGGATGCTTGATCCCTTATATTTTAGGGGATTACCTTATATTTAGCTTTTTTTTTTTTTTTTTTTTTCTTTTTTTGGTCTTTTGGAGACAGGGTTTCACTATGCAGTTCAAGTTGGCCTTAAACTCACTTGGTAGCTCAGGCCAGCCTCGAACTCACAGCAATCCTTCTGCCTCAGTCTCAAAGGTGCTCAGACTATAGGCATGTTTCACCACAAGCAGCATAGTATTTTTCATTTGTAAGACAACTATTTCATTTCCACTTAGGAAATGAAGTTGCACCATTTAATTAAAGATGATACAAATATTTCTAAGTTTTTAAAGAATGTAATTACAGTTTATAAACATGAAAAATACTTTTGAGCACACCACTGAGTAACGTGCTCTTGTGGAGTAATGGTCTCTTAAGAGTCTGCTGAATTCTCTGTATCCCAACAATAATGCTCACCTGCAGGTATTTTGTGCAGTCTTTCAAGATTCACAGGCTTGTATTCAAAAACATGTGCAACAGGAAACAAATGTCACCTTTCCCTACTTTTTTCTCCCAGCTCTTTAAGAGAAATTTGATTTCTGTTATTTGAGGATTTTTCTACCCTTTCTCAGCTAGTCGTCAGCAGCAATTCCTTCTCTCTCATCTTTTGTATTCTTTCCTACATCTTTTCTTTCAGCTTTTACAGTAGATGAGGAGTCAAAGTATATCTTTTCCCAGAAAGCTTTATTCTACCTTTGAATAAATTTTAAAGTATACTCGGGGATAGTTCAAAAAGGAGCATTTTTTTGTGTTTTTTTTGCTACTCATTGGCATATTTCCGACCTTTTTCCTCTTTTGCCTTGCATAGCAGTTTACTCTCCTGCTTCTTTATCCACCTCTGCAGTGTCCACTTCGCTGTTTCCTATTCCGCTGTTTCCTCTTCACTGTAAAGTTCTTATTTGATGCTTAAATCCGAGCACCTCATTTGCCCCCATACTTTATATTCTTTTATAGAATGTATCATATTCTATCAGGTGAGCTTGTCTCTGAACTCCAAGGCTGCGATTGGGTTAATCCTCAGTGATCAACCCAGTGCATTCTCTTCTTGAACTCTTTGCACTTGTCGTTGTTTAAAGTCCAGCTCTCTGAGGCCAGGGGCTGTGTCTACCCGATTCTCTGCTGATATCCCCTGTGCCAATCACAGTGTTTGAGACTAGCTGCTCAAAGAGTAACTTTAAATATTGACAAATGTGAATAAAAACACTTTAACCCAATTTATTCTTGTATCTGTTTCCTGCTATCAGCTCCATGCATTTTATTTTTACTTTTGGTAGCCTTGGGTATAGAACCCAGAACCTCAAGCATGCTAGGAAAGCACACTACCATTTAGCTACACCCCCAGGCTCCAAAATCTCCTTCTCCTCCTCCTGCTCTTCCTCCTCCTTCTCCTCTGCAGCCTCCTCCCTCTCCCCCTCCCTCGCCTCCTCCTCCACCTCCTTCTTCTTCTTTTTCAGTTTTTTCAGACAGGCACTCACCGTGTAGTGCAGGCAGGCTTCAAACTCATGGCAATCCTCAGCCTCAGCCTCCTGAGGGCTGGGATTACAGATGTGCACCACCATGCCTGGTCTTAAATTCTTATCAATAAAAATTTACTAATTGCTTAGCCTAACTGTCCTCCCTATCTCATCTTCCTCATCCTCTATCTCCCCCAAAACTCATCCTATAACTGCATCCTCAGTAACATGAGAAAAAAACAAGAGTGACTGTGTTCCCTTGTTCAGACCTCTGCCATGTCTCCACTTCCTACGGAAGCTCAACTTGGATTTGAAGCTTTGGTTCCAATCTCTTTTTTTTGAGACAGGGTCCAGACTTGCCTTGACCAACGCCACTCCCGTTTAATTAGTATATGTTTGCAATACATAATAAATACATTCATTGTGGGGAACTGGTACATGTACATATCATACCAATCTCCCTTCTTAAACCTCTCCAGCCTACTTTATTAAATGTTTACTATATATCAAGCACTAGTTTAGTCACTGAGCCGGGCAAGGTGGAGCATGCCTGTAACCCCAGCACTCAGCAGGCTGAGGCAGGAGGATCATTGGGAGTTCGAGACCAGCCTGGGCTACAAAGTGAGCTCAAGGCCAGCCTGAACTGCTTAGAGAGACCCTGTCTCAAAAAGACAAAATAAAATAAAATAAATAAAGTGGGGAGAATGCCGGGTGTGCTGGCGCACACCTGTAATCAGCCTGCACTCGGGAGGCTGAGGCAGGAGGACTGTTTCGAGTTCGAGACCAGCCTGGGCTACAAAATGAGCTCAAGGCCAGCCTGAACTGCACAGGGAGACCTTGTCTCAAAAAAGACTAATAATAATAATAATAATAATAATAATAATAATAATAATAGGGCCGGGGATATAGCTCAGCGGGACAAGTGCCTGCCTGGTAAGCTCAAGGTCCTGAATTCAATTCCTGGAACCAAAAAAAATAATAATAATAATAATGAGAGATCTTGGGGATGAGATTCAAATCTAAACTAGTTTAGTCACTGAATCCACAAAGCAGTTGGGAAGACAGGTACACTGACTAACAAGGTATATCTATTATAGGGTCTGTGACAACACCGATAATTTTAGGACAATTGAGTATAAAATACTAGGTTTTTGGCCAGGTTTGGAAGCCCGTATCTGTAATCCCAGTACTCTGGGAGCACTGCAAGTGCAAGCCCAGCCTGGGCAATTTAGCAACTTAGCGAGACCCTGTCTCAATATAAAAAAACAGAGAAAAGGCTTGGGATGTGTCTCAGGGCAAAGGCCCAGGGTTCAATCCGTAGTACCAAAAGAAAAACAAAACCCAAAATCTACTAGGTTTTTGCCCTTTGCCAGTTCACAAATTTTATTAAAAACTGCAGTGTCCAATATGGTGGCCACTAGCCACATTCAAGCACTCAACAGCCACATGAGGAGGCATACAGGACAGGGCAGAGCACTTCCATCATCCATGGAAGTGGGAGTGTGGTGCTAGTTACCAGTCAATCCCCAACTCAACACCCACAGCACCTTGGCTGGCATGTATTTTAAAGTAGTACTAGCTCCCAAGACAGATAATGCAACAAAGTACTTTGAAAACTATTAAGTGCTACACAAATGAGATACAATAAATGGGTTCAGTTCTTGCTTTCATCACAGCTTTGGTCATTTCAAGTAAATTCTAGCTCTTTTCTTGCTCTTTTCTCCTTCCCATAATTTATGCCAGAAGGTCCTGAAAAGACACACACAGTTGAAGCGATTATCCCAGGGCTAAACATCCGGGTAACACCTACCTTGAAGCTTTTAACCCAGGACCCTACTTCACTACCTGCCTTCTCTGTCACTTTCCTCAAAAAGAAAGGACATGAATTCAGATTTTTCAAAACAACAAAATATTTATTTTGAGACTTCAGAATTATGGAAAACTTAAGTAATGGGAATTGGAGCCTCATCAGGGTCTTCTGGGAAATCAGAAGCACCACCGTCTGCAGCATCTCGATGCTTTCCCAGTTTAGCAATCAATTCTTTAGCTGGATTAAAGACGCCATTGGTCTGCTGGTCACAGACATAGCAACGCGAGGTGGTGCGGAAATGCTGCAATGCACAGCTCTCGCAGAAATAATGCCTGCACTTGGTGACAACTGGGTTTTGGAAGGTCTGGCGACAGATGAAGCACTTGAATGGTATTTCCTCATCATCACTTCCTACTTCGTAGTTTTCATCCTCATAGACACCATAGCGACCCTCGTCAAGCTCACGTTCGATCTGCCACCCGTGCTTGTAATCTGAACGGTCATGGAGGAATTTGCAGCTGTCTCCGAAGCCGCAGAAGCCAGTCTCCTTGTAATCTTTACAGATGTCAGGCTGGTAATCCCAGCGCACGGTGGCCCGTAGATGCTCAGGCGCTCGAATGGGGCCCTTTCTCACCATCCCGGAAGAAGCGTTGCCCATAGACGTATCCTTGGGTTTCATGTATTTCTGATAATTATTGATTCCCCGATAGATCTTATCATCTTCCTTGCCCCTCAGCTCCTCCTGGATCTTCTGGCTGCGCTCAAAAATGGCTTGCGCGTCCCGTTCCTTCTCTGTGTCTAGCTCGTAGACAGCTGTCGCCCCCATATCCTCTGGCCCCACGGGTTTAGCTGAGCGGGTGGACTTGTAGACCACGCCGAGACTCTCGGGCTCTTTCTCCTCCTCCTCCTCCTCCCCGCTGCTCAAATCGCCATAGGCCGCCCTCTTATTAATGCTGCCTCGGGTCCTTTGTATCATTGGATTGTGGATTGCCCGCTTCTTCTCCGGCCGGACCACAGTGTTGCCTTCGTCACTGCTGCTGCCGCTTTCTCCGGGCTCCGGGTCGCACGCCGGTCGCTTTCTGCGGCCAGCAGCCCCTTTCCGCCCAGGCTTTTTGAAGAGGAAGGTGCATACCTGGGCTGCCGACTTTCCGGGAGAAAGCTCCTCTGCCATTTTAGAGTCCCGAGCTCCTAAACTGCTGCGGAGTGGAAAACCGAGCCGGGCCTCTTCACGTAACTGCACGTAGCGCGCTCTACAGCAAGTCCGAGCAAAAGGAACTGATGGAAGAGAACGATTGAGAGAGCGCGAGCGCCAAACACTTTTTGAGCCGTAGGAGACTCCGTAGCTTCCTCCGGAGACGTACGTGGTGTTACGCTGCCGCGGAGCATATCCGGAAGGAAGCTGAAGCCCGGTCACCTTTGAGAGTACCGGAGCGTTTGGGGAGCCGAGCTGTGATGTGGTTCGAGATTCTACCCGGACTTGCCATCATGGGCGTGTGCTTGGTCATTCCCGGAGTGGCCACAGCATACATCCACAGGTTCTCCAACGGGGGCAAGGTAAGGCGGCCTGCCCGGGCCTACTGCACGTACTGGCATTCCCGAGACGGGGTGGGGAGGGGAGGCCGTTGGGATGCCGTTAGCCGCTCTGAGGCTGTAAATACAAAGAACGGCCCTCCTCTTTCTTCGTGTTGCCTAAAAGTGGAAGCTTACGGAGTTCGCATCCTGGCTTTAGGTGGAAACAGCTAGTTTTGCGGTGGAGAAGAGGGAGCCCTCGGGTAGAGTAGAATTGGAGAACCGGAGAAGTAGTTTGGAAGAGAGGTCCAGATTCCTAGAGACGCGGGAGAGGCGTTAGTCGTGGCCCCACACCTTGCGCTGCGGACTGGTCACCTTGTCTAGTTTGGTTTTAATTTCTTACACCCCTGTTTTGTAGTTTCTTCTTTTCCCTACCCTTAAGTAGGTTTCGCCCCCTAACTTCTTTTATGTTCCACTTTGTTTTGCAAGCCTTTGGGAAGTCTTATCAGGATTTTCGTATTCCCCTCTTCCTAATCCTTCATATTTCTAGAGTAAGTCAGAATGTAAACCGATTTGCTTTTTTGATTTTGTGTTTGTCCTTTATGTACGAGCTACCTGTTGTCTTTTGGGGGTCCCAAAAGGCAACAAGTAGACATTTCTGGGGGAGAAGGAGAGGGAGAGAGAGAAACACTGATGAGATTAGGAGTCAAGGTTCCAACGAAATTGTAGTGGTGTGATTTTATATAGGAGATTCTGGCCTTATATTGTTAATTTACCTTTTATTTCAGTATTGATTGTATTTTTTCTAGCGTGCCATTTCTTGAAAGTAGAAAGAACCATCTATATAAAGTGCAATAATATTTGTCTTCTGTTTGAAGGAAAAAAGAGTTGCCAACTTTCCATATCAGTGGAGTTTGATGGAAAGAGATCGGCGCATCTCTGGAGTTAACCGTTACTATGTGTCAAAGGTAAGATGACCGTGATGCTAGCCATCTGCCAGGGTTTGGGGTCTTAGTAATACCTTGCCATAGGTCATACAGTGCGAATATAATTTGCATGTTTTGTCTACTAGAAAGTCAAACAGCCTTTTATGTATTTAATGTCCTTTTGTAGTTCCTCTGTGAATTCTTTACCTACTCTGTCATTTTCTTTTGTGTTTATAGTAGTTTCTAATGTATTCTGGGGGGATACCTGTGTCTCCTCATCTGGTGCCACATTTCTTAAAGTATAGTTTCAGAATAAGCATCAAAATCACCTGGCATGTGAAATAGAAATTGGATTTCTAAGAGGTAGTTTCTAGAAATAAGTAATTTTAACTTCTCAAGGCAGTTCTTCCTGAAGTAGTAAACAAAATACCTGATCTGTTTATTTTAATATCTGGAAGAAATGTCATCACTGATTATTCTTTTTAATTTTAGATTCTGAAGTATTTGCATGTGAATTGAGTAAGATGAGTGTATTGTTGCAGTTAGAGAAATACGAAGTGTGAAAACATTTGCTTTAATGCCAGAGAATACTGTTCTTTGACACTGGAAATAAAGTACGTGGTACATCTTTGATGGGAACAGAATTCTTACATCCTCTTTTCTAAACTTTTTCAGGGTTTGGAGAACATTGATTAAGGAAGCATTTTCCTGATTGATGAATCAGTTATGGTCATCTAACCCTGTTGGAAGTTTAAGCAGTATATTACGTGGCATTCAGTTTACTGTGTTATGTAATGCTTAATAAAAACAAAATTTAAAAAAAAAGGCATTTCTTTCTTTAAAGTATACAGGATCAAGCAATCTACCCAATGTAGCTTTATTACTTAAAAAAACCAGAAGGCAATCAAAACTTCTAAAATTATAGATGTAATATATACCAAGCACCTATTTCCGTGCCTACCACTTCTTAAACTGTGTGATAGTTATCATCATTGTAGGAAAATGAATGGGTCCTGAGACTGTATGTTAAATAAATCAGACACAGAAGGTTAAAAATTGCATGGTTTTTCTTATATGAGAAACCCAAAGCATCAATAATTTAGATAGTAAACCAAAGGTGCTCACTTCGACAGCACATAGACTAAATAGTAAACCAAAGGAAAGATAGGAAACGCTTGGAGACGGGGAAGAGGATCTGGGAAAGGGGGGAGAGGGGAGTAGGGCGGGGAAGAAGTAAAAGATGATCAAGATACTAATTCCCCAAAATGAGTGTAATTATTATATATCACAAACATATAAAATGAAAAGGGAGGGGAAAGGAGACTACTTAAAATTTCTTCAGAGGTTGCTAGGACAATACAGAGAAAAGTAATTTTTTTCCCAGTTCTTTTCTCGGTGGGTCCTACAGTATTTACAATTCTAGCTAGGGTGCTGAGGGTGTAGCTCAGTAGGGAAATGTTTCCTAGGATATACAAGGCTCTGTTCTATCCCCAAGGATATACAAGGCTCTGTTCTATCTTTTGTTTTTGTATGCCAAAAACAAAAGAAAAATTCCAGTTAAGATACTTTTAATATGGAGACTGTATCTTCAGTTTTCATATATTCTGTGTGGTACCTAGCAGTACAGTACATGCTTAAGCTTTGATTTTTGTTTTAGGATAGAATAGCATCAGCAGTCATTTTGTTTATTGAGTGTACTGCCAGGTTCACCGGCACATGCCTATAATCCCTCTTACTCAGGAGGCTGAGGCAGAGGGATTGAAAATTTGAGGTCAGTTTGGGCCTATCTCAAAGGTGTAGCTCAGTGGTAGGGCAGTGCCCAGGGTTTAACCCCTAGCCTGCAAAGAAGTGATCATTTGAAATATGAGTTGTATGTTTAACATTAAAGGTAACTGATAGGGAGATTCAAGTAGGCCTGCTGTAAAGATGCTGCTATCTTAGGGCAGGGGATGTGGCTCCGTGGTGGAGCATCTGCTCCATGTGTGTGGCCGGGGGTTCAATCCCCAGTACCACCAAATTTTTAAAAAAAGATGATGCTACTCTGTGTATACAGTTAACACTGTAGGTGACATGAAGAATCCTAGGTGAGAACACAAAATTGTGTTCTTTTCTTGTTCTAGGGCTCAAACCCAGGGACTTGCCTTTGCTAGGCAAGTGCCCTACCGCTATGTTATATCCCTAGCCTGCTAAATTGTCCATCTTCACCTTTACCCATTCTAGCGTCTGATCTAATGATGATCTTAAACACACCTCCCCTGTATGATTTCTACTAACTTCATTTTACAGAGCAGGGTTTACAGAAGGAGGTGGCATTCATATTTACAGCAGGTCTATATTGTGCCACCCCATCAGAGTGCGGCAGTGACCTTTATTCAAGGAAAACCCTCATTGTGGTGACAAATTTAATAGAACACTAGTCAGTGCCTCACAGGCCACAATTAATTAACTTACAAGTATCGCCAGAAAAGAAAGCAGGTAGTACAGATAGGGAGTTGTGGATATAGACAACTAACAATCTATCACTAAATCTGCTCATTTTTAGGTCTGTTCTACTTTTCTCTAGGTAAGGAATTCATTAAGTTTGTCTCCCTAGGAGCTACAGAATGACAAGTGAAGGGTGGTGAGGTAGTCAGATTGAGTGTTAGGATCCACAGACTTCCCTTTTTGTGAAGCATCTCCTGTGAAATTGAGCTTTATTTGTATGTTCTACTGGTGGGGAGCAAACCAGATTAAAACTCTTGGAAGACTAAATGATTAGATTTCAGTTGATTCAAGTGCAATTAGGAGGGTTTTCTTACAGACATTTTGAGAGATGTGGTCTGACCAGTGATATCAGCTCCATCTGTCACCTGCTTTTCTGGCCTGTTGAAATGCTGCATGAGAAATGCCATCCAGTTGTTGTTTGTTTTTTGTCTTTTTGAGACAGGGTCTTCCTATGCAGTTGAGGCTGGCCTTCAGCTCACTTTGTAGCCCATGCTGGTCTCAAACTCTCAAAGATCCTCCTGCCTCAGCCTCCCAAGTACTGGGATTACAGGTGTGCACCACCACACCTGGCTAATTGGTGTTATTAACCATGTTTAGTTTTAAAAATAGATACCATATTCACATAGCCCAAAGCCCAATAATATAAGGTATGTGTTAAAAAGACATGTTTTATTGCTGTCCAGCACTCATTGCACTATAGCCCAAATGTGTCTTTATGCACATATGAAAACAAGCATGTTCTTTTTTTCATTTATAACACAATGATAGCATCTGATTTACTGCTCACCTTGATGTCACTTTATTTTTTTTAAAACTTTTTTAATTTTAAAGAGAAAATTTCAAAGCAAGATAGTAGGTAACAATGGTTAATGCATTGTGTATTGTTATTTGATGCCACTTTGGAAGAGTGACTCTTATTTAAAGTTATGTCCACTAGGCTGCCAAGAATTATTTCTAGGGTCAAATGAAATAGTCAACAGGAAAAGACTGAAAAACGAGAGAAACCATACAGAGAAGGGAGAGGAGGAGAATGGCACTGCTCTTTGGGAAACATTTTAAGTGAAATATTTGTGAAAAAGTTTGTAGAACCAACAATTCAAACTTACAAAGACCCTTAGACATTTAAAATTCTGATTCCTCAGATGAAACAAAGGTTCACGGATGGGGAAGTGATCACTTAGTGCAGAACTGCAACTAAAATTCTGATGTTTTGACTCACAAATGGTGTACTTTTAACTGTTCTCTGTAGTTCAGTAAACCCTGGCTCAAAGCCGGGGATGGTAACATGTGCCTGTAATCCTGACACTCCAGGAGGCTGAGGCAGGAGGATTGCAAGTTCAAACCCAGCCTGGGCAACTTAGTGACTTAGTGAGACTTTGTCTCAAAAAAATGTCGAAAGAGCTAGGGATGTAGCTCAGTGCCAAGGCCATGTTCGATTCCCAGTACCACTGTGCCTCAGATTTGAATGACACAGCACTGCTCACAGAAGCTCACAGTCATGCGGGTGACACAGTTATATGAGAGTTAAGTGCTGTCGGGGCACAGAGGTCAGGCTTGGCTTAGCCTTGGGATGAGGGGACCAGAAAGGCTTAGGGTAAGTTTCCAGGTGACATCTACACAGAGCTAAGTTTTGATGGCTGAAGAGGTTTAGAAGACAGACAGTTGGGTGAGGACATTCTTAGCCTAGGGAGCAGTGTGAGGGTCAGAACAGGAACTAGCATGGCTGGGTGGGAAAGCTCTACAAGTAGTTCTGCAGAACTGGAGCAAAGAGCGCAAAGCATGGAGACCCGGAGAATGGGGCAGGGCCTGCCACAGGAAGGGCCTCGTCTCCCTCTGCACAGTAGAATGAAGGCCAGTGATGTGACTTGCAGACATCTTCCTGGCTGCTCTGCGTCGGGGAAGTTTCAAGCAGTGCTTTTCAACAGGACCATTTTACCCCTCAGGGCTCAAGAAGCATTCTGCTTTGTCACAACAGGAGGGGTTGCTGACATTAGTGGGTACGAGCCAGAGGCAGTGCTTCTAAACATCCTACAATGGTCACCTGCCCCTCATCCCCCCATGACAAAGTTTCCACCAGATGTGGAGCAGAGCACGAGGAGCAGCTTCACATCAGGAGGCCCTACCACCTGTGCCTTGTGTGACCTCCAGTAGGTTGCACCTGATGTGGCCTCAGTTCTCCCATCTCTCAAATGAGCGCAGTGAGTATCGGGGACAAGCTCATGATTTATGCATGTGACGTAGTTTGTAAGTGTACAGCCTCATGGAGATGGAAGGGACCATTGACTGTGAGCACTCCTGTAACAGTGCTCCAGCCCACCCAAGTCCCCTGAAGTGCCTTGTGCAACGTGTTGCAATGTGGTGTTGGCAAGATCTGTAAGCCTGATCTCTGGTTCCTTGTTAGCATGGACACAGCCAGGGAATCTCAGTACTGCAGAGATAATAGACAGTAGGAATTTCAATGAAGAGACTGCTCTGAAGGCATTTTCTGAAAGTGCAATTTTTTTAAAAAATGTGGTTTAAGCCGGGTGTGGTGGCACACACCTGTAATCCCAGCACTCCAGAGGCTGAGGCAGGAGAACTGCTGTGAATGATAGGCCAGCCTGGGCTACATAGTGAGTTCAAAGTCAGCCTGAACTACACAGTGAGACCTTGTCAAGAAAAAAAACAAAAAAACGAAACTAAACTAAACTGAAACAACACAGCACACAATGTAGTTTAATGCCATTTTGAGAACTGTGTGCCTGGTTTTCCTTCGCAGTTCTTGCTCCTTGCTCTGTTTGGAAGGGAAAGAACAGTGCAGATGGGCTTGAAGCCAGCCGTCCTCACCAGGAAGCTTTTAGATGAGGGTAAGGGGTAGGGGTGAGAGTGAAGCAGCACTTGGCTTCTTTTTTTTTTTTTTTTTTTGTCTTTTTTTTGTCTTTTTGAGACAGGGTCTTCTGTGCAGTTCAGGCTGGCCTTGAACTCACTTTGTAGCCCAGGCTGGTCTCAAACTCGCAAAGATCCTCCTGCCTCAGCCTCCCGAGTGCTGGGATTACAGGCGTGCGCCACCACGCCCGGCTCTTGCACTTGGCTTCTGAGACTCCAAATCCCTCGGAAATTTTGGGGAACTAAGAACTCAAATTATTCTACTGTACTTTTTAAATTTTGTACCAGAAATCAACTCTACTTTTGTGAGAAAGAAGACTTGTAGAGCAACTATAGGGCTTCATCTGTTTCAAATATGTAGAAGCAAATTGTAGCTATCTCAAGAGAAGGACGCTTAGGTTATTGGTTTGGGTCTGTGTGTGTCTATGTGAGGCGACCCCCGACGCCATGTACTGTCCTGACCACTGGCATGTCGG